AATGTTACAGGGCACAAGGGCTTTTGGGACGAGCTTTTGCACCCTCAGGCACAACCCTGGCATTAACATTGGCTGGACCAGTTCTCAGTCTAAAACCAGAAAACCAGCTCCAGAAAACAAGTCATCTGTATGTGCTGTGCCCAACTCATTCGACACAGGCCCATAGAAATCAAGGAGAAAAGCCAAGGTGTTCATAGCAAGTTCAGGCTTGAAAGGCAAGCCGTGCATTTTGGGGAATCATCTGCTTCGTAACAGCAAAAGCAGTGGGGAAATAGGACCCTTCATAATCAGATCTGGGAATCCTGAAGCACCAGGGACACTGCGGGAAGCCTGGTAAAGGAAGATGGTCCACAACTTTCCTGCCCTCCAGCAACTATTACTTCTGGTTTCTGGTATATAAAAATATGGCTACATAAAACAAAGTCAAAAGAGAGCTCGGGAATATGAAATGCTGCTTTCCATCTATCAACTCTTTTTTTTTTTTCTTTTTTTAAATAAAACAATGTGACACGGATAGTTTATTTCCTGTTGGCTACATTTTTCATTTTGTCATGAAACCAGTGGCAGAGATTTTTGACTTCAGGAAATGGCCCGTAAAACAGCCACTTAAAACGAATGGCAGAGTTCACATTAAACATTACAAAACCATGAAATCCTAGAAAAAAATTAGTCTGGGAGAGGCTGCTGGAGCTCACTGGCTCTTTGTCTGCCTGGACAAGGGCACTCCTCACATTATAATCTTTTGATTTATGAATAATTGGGATCAACACGGAGGTGTGGAGTGGGTCAGGTGGACAAAGCCACTTTGAGGAGTCCCAGTCCCCACCATTGACCCTGGAGGGAAGGAAAGCCACCGGGATGGGTTAACTGTTCCCTCCTGAAAGGCCCCGCAGACTAAGACGGAAGGTTCCTCCTTACGGGGTGCAGGGGAAAGAGCTTGTGGGGACTGTGCAAAACTTATTGCAGGAATTGCAGGATGCTTTTAACGGGAACAAGGGGACATGTGAGACTTCCTGTTGGAGGTCTAGGGGAAGGATTTAGGAAGAATCAAGGTGGATTGGGAAGGAACAAGCATGCTAAAATAGAGTGAAGAGGATTAAAGGGGGCAGCTGAGTGCAAACAAGTTGCTAAACATTATGCTTCCCTGATGGAGGCCTGCACTTGAACGCATTAAATCCTACTTCTTTCTAACTATGGTGAACAACAAAGAACTCCAAGGTGGACCAGCCGGTGACACAGGCACAAGGTCTCTGTGCCGGTCTGGAAACACCGGTCCTCCTACGCGCCGGTGCCGAAGCAGAGGAGAGCCCAGGTACCCAGCCCCGCTGTGCTCGCTCTGCCAGCCAGGTCACGGGCTCCCGAGGTGTTTGGGCTGTGCAAGGACTCGTCTGCCTTGCTGCCCAGCGGGACCCTCTGCCCCAGCCGCAGCAGGGCTACGCATCACCCACGCAGAAGCTCCAGGAGGTGCCACCAGCCCTTCCCTCCATGCTGACGAGGCGGCTCCAAAGGGTGGCCCTACCTCCCGCTGCGATCCCCCTTTCGGATCAGCCCTGGGTTTGTAGTCCATGCCCTCTATGGCTTCACCTAGCTTGTTAAGAAAGATGTTGGGCAGCTGTGGGGCGAGCGTTGCCCCACGAGTCACACAACTGCTCACTGGCCAACCATGGCACATCACAGCACCGCGGGCAAAACTCGGAGCCCAGGGGTCCAGCCCGTTTTCTGCCAGCCCTCTGGTGTGTTGACCCACAGCTCACCCCATCGGCTCTAAGCAGACCGCATCGAAGGCCCTGATAAATCTGAGGAGTGCAACATGCACCGCGCTCTCCTCGCTCATCTTCTCCTGTGAGGAGTCAGGCACCAGGTGCTCTGAGCAATCCCTCCTGCAGACCCTTCCTGGGCTGGGAAAGGGTCTCCTGGAAGAGCCACTGAAGCTCTCACTGAGGCCGAGTTGACTTGCAAGTCTTTCTTTGCTCAGACTTCATCACACAGGATTTTTAGGGCTGTTGTGGGTTAGGTGAAAGGCGATGGGTAGCAGTGAGCTGCGCTAATCAGTGGTGATCCGGCAAATCTGCAGTAGTTTGAGGTGGCCACAACCAACTGAACCTGGCTCTGTCACTGGGTATAAAAAACAACTCTGAGTCAAAACGGGATGGGGGCTTTTTATGTTCTTCTGGATACGATATGAACACCCTTAAATTTCAGAGAAGAAAGGGGACAATACCACGAAAGTTAACAGAAGGCAAAACAGTTTTGTCATGCATGTGTCACGGACTGTTAGGGCCCCTAGACTAAGAGGGTCTATAGCTACAGGTCCAGTATTCTACAAAATTCCCAACAGATACGCCAGTAAATAAATGAGGAGAGCTAAGGAATAAAAGATCTTGTGAACATCGCAAGAAACCCTGCAGTAAGACGATACACCCCCGGAGCAAGTGCCAACCTTTCCACCTGTGCATGGTAGCCCCTCTCGTTGGAGGAGCCCCATCGCGTCCATCCCGTACCAGAGAGAGGGAGGAGGCATCAGGAACTGCCTGAGGAATCACGCGGATCCCATGGCGTCCATCCTGTATCAGAGCCAGGGAGGAGGTGTCAGGAACTGCCTGAGGAACCGCTCGGATCCCATGGTGTCCATCCCATGCCAGAGCGAGGGAGGAGGCGTCAGGAATTGCCTGAGGAACCGCGCAGATCCCATGGCGTCCATCCTGTATCAGAGCCAGGGAGGAGGCGTCAGGAACTGCCCGAGGAACCGCGCGGATCCCATCGCGTCCATCCCGTGCTAGGGATGGAGGCGTCAGGAACTGCCTGAGGAACCGCGCGGAGAGGACGGCCACAATGCCCACACTGTTGCCAGGCAACACATAGCTAGGAAAACAGGGATAACGGCAGAAAGGTCACACGTGCGCACCCGCAAACACAAAACACCCTAAATATTCAGCGTTTGGCAGTGGAAAAAAACCCCAATTTATTAGAAAAATACTTGATTTTCAAATACTTTTAACAGGTCACAGTGAACAACGTCCAAGATCCAGTAGTCTTTTCTCCAGCTGAACAGTCTTACATGATCAGAATACCGAAAATTCTGTGGTTACACAATTCCCCCCAAAAATCGTTATTAGTGATTAATATGGCCCATTATTAATGCGGCTGCTGTTGATTAAAAAAGAGGGCTGTTTTCTGAAACTAGCTGTGTCTGAAATATGAGATAAAAAGATCATCAGCAATCCTAATACATGTGTTATTAGCTATATAAGCTTTTTGTTTTCAGAATCACAGCAAGAAAATGCACTCCTCTTC